TGCTGTTTGTCCTTTAAGTCAGTGACAGTGTTGTTTGTCCTGTAAGTTTGTGACTGTCCCGTTTGTCCTGTAAGTCAGTGACAGTGTTGTTTGTCCTGTAAGTTTGTGACTGTCCTGTTTGTCCTGTAAGTCAGTGACATTGTTGTTTGTCCTGTAAGTCAGTGACATTGTTGTTTGTCCTGTAAGTCAGTGACAGTGTTGTTTGTCCTGTAACTGAGTGACAGTGTTGTTTGTCCTGTAAGTGAGTGACAGTGTTGTTTGTCCTGTAAGTCAGTGACAGTGCTGTTTGTCCTGTAAGTCAGTGACAGTGCTGTTTGTCCTGTAAGTTTGTGACTGTGCTGTTTGTCCTGTAAGTCAGTGACAGTGTTGTTTGTCCTGTAAGTGAGTGACAGTGTTGTTTGTCCTGTAAGTCAGTGACAGTATTGTTTGTCCTGTAAGTCAGTGACAGTGTTGTTTGTCCTGTAAGTTTGTGACTGTGCTGTTTGTCCTGTAAGTCAGTGACATTGTTGTTTGTCCTGTAAGTCAGTGACTGAGCTGTTTGTCCTGTAAGTCAGTGACTGTGCTGTTTGTCCTGTAAGTCAGTGACTGTGCTGTTTGTCCTGTAAGTCAGTGACTGTGCTGTTTGTACTGTAAGTGAGTTACACTGTTGTTTGTCCTGTAAGTCAGTGACAGTGTTGTTTGTCCTGTAAGTCAGTGACAGTGTTGTTTGTCCTGTAAGTCAGTGATAGTGTTGTTTGTCCTGTAAGTCAGTGACTGTTCTGTTTATACTGTAAGTCACTGACAGTGCTATTTGTCCTGTAAGTGAGTGACAGTGTTGTTTGTACTGTAAGTCAGTGACAGTGTTGTTTGTCCTGTAAGTCAGTGAGAGTGTTGTTTGTGCTGTAAGTCAGTGAGAGTGTTGTTTGTGCTGTAAGTCAGTGACAGTGTTGTTTGTGCTGTAAGTCAGTGACAGTGTTGTTTGTGCTGTAAGTCAGTGACAGTGTTGTTTGTCCTGTAAGTCAGTGACAGTGTTGTTTGTCCTGTAAGTCAGTGACAGTGTTGTTTGTCCTGTAAGTCAGTGACAGTGTTGTTTGTGCTGTAAGTCAGTGACAGTGCTGTTTGTACTGTAAGTGAGTGACAGTGTTGTTTGTGCTGTAAGTGAGTGACAGTGTATTTTGTCCTGTAAGTGAATTACAGTGTTGGGTCTCCTGTGAGTGAGTGTGTGTATGAGAGTGAGAGTATGTGTGAGACAGGTGAGGTGTGTGTGTGTGGGGGGTAACCTACAGCAGAGCATTGAAGGTTGCTCACTGCTGCATCATGCCACCAACCCAGAATGACTGAGCATAGAACAGAATATGGAAAGAGAGACATAGAGAGAGAGAGAGAGAGAGAGAGAGAGAGAGAGAGAGAGGGTCAGTAATGCTCTATTGTAGTCTGTGTAAATCAGTGCAGATGGTTTGTTCAGAGAGAGTGTGTGTGTGTGTTTTTGTGTGTGTGTGAGTGTGTGTGTGTGTGTGTGTGTGTGTGTGCGCACACTGATGAGCTTCACCCCGAGGGTGCCGCCACTACGCCCACGTACGGCCCACCGAGCGGACGCACACACACACACACACACACACACACTCACAGACGCCCGAAGTGTGTGAACAATGCTCTGCACTGAAAGCTGAATCTTATTAGTGCTGATTGTCCAGATAGAGTCACAGATCAGACCTGACCGGCATAATGACACATCGCAGCACCAGCTTATTAATAAACAGCTTCCTGTTAATAGACGCATGAGAAATTAATGATTTAATTAGGGGCCAACTGGTCACTAACGTCCCCCGTCCCTCCGACTTGGCGAGCAGGTGTGGAAACATTACTACAGAGAGGATGACGCAGGTGGTCCGGTCAGTCCTGCGCACCAGCTTTCAGCGCTTACCAAAGCCGTTTCTGAGTGGACCTCTAATCTAAATCTAAATACATCAGCAAATAAATAAAATAAATAATAAGTAAATAAATTAATAGAAGCTCACGTGTCTCACCCTCTGCACTCGCTCACTGCAGTTCAGTCTGAGCGCAGCAACACTACAACCTCGGCACACACAGACTGGACTTAATTACAACATACTGACCACATTCACACCAGATAAACGCCTTATTAATACATACTGGATACATTCAAAAAACATACTGACTGTAATAGCTTACAGTATCAATATTAATACACAAACAGTCCTCATTAACGCATACTGGTTATAATACCACACTGCCCACATCAGTACATACTGGTAGAAATAAAACAAACTGGTTATAATAATACATACTAGCTATATTAATACACAAACAGTCCTCATTAACTCATACTGGTTATAATACCACACTGCCCACATTAATACATACTGGATATATCAATTCACACTGGTTATAACAGTACACTCTAGCAATATTAATACACAAAAAGTCCTCATATAACTCAAAATGGTATTAATACCACACTGCCCACATTAATACATACTGGTAATAATACATACCAGTAAAAATAATACACAGGACCAAAATTAATACACAAACAGTCCTCATTAACTCATACTGGTTAAAATACCACACTGCCTATATTAATACATACTGGATATATTAATTCATACTGGTAATAACAGTACACTCCAGCAATATTAATACACAAAAAGTTCTCATGTAACTCATACTGGTATTAATAGCACACTGCCCACATTAATAAAGGTAAAAATACTGGTAAAAATAATAAATACTAGTAAAATAATACACAATATTAATATTAAAACACAAGCAGTCCTCATTAACTCACACTGGTTATTATAACACACTGCCTATAATAATACATACTGGTAAAAGTAAAACACACTGGTTATAATAATACACTCTAACAATATCAATACACAAACAGTCCTCATTAACTCACACTGGTTATAAAACTACACTGCCCACATTAATACATACTGGTAAAATGAATACATACTAGTAAAATTAATACACACTATCAATATTAAGACACAAACATTTCATACTGGTTATATCGACACACTGCCCACATTAATACATACTGGTAAAAATAATACATACTGGCTATAATAATACATACTAGCAATATTAATACATAAACTGTCCTCATTAACTCATACTGGTTATTAAACCATACTGCCCACAATAATACATACTGGGCATATTAATAACACTGGTTATAACAGTACACTCTAGCAATATCAATATGCAAACAGTTCTCATGAACTCATACTGGTTATATCACCACACTGATCATGTTAATTTACCCATGTAATAACAATACACTAGCAATACAGCTACACAAGTAGTCTTTATCAATTCATACCGGTTATAATACAACACATTGACCATGCTAATAAACACTAGCAATATTAATACACAAATACATCCTCATTTATACATACTGGTTATAATCACAAACAACCCACTTTAATGCATTTTAATGCCCATATTAATTCACACTGGCCATAAAACACACACACTACCAATATTAATACACAATCAATCCTTACTAATACATACTGGTTATAATAAACATCCCATATTAATCCACACTGTCCATATACACTGGTTATAATAACACACTGGCTATATTACTACATATTAATACACACTGGTTATAATAACTCACACTGTTCATACTAATTCACACTGGTTATAATAGTAAACACTCGCAATATTAATATCAGCAGTATTAATAACCAAACAGTCCTTATTAATACACACTGGTTATAATAGTAAACACCATCGATATTAATATCAGCAGTATTAATAACCCAAACAGCCCTTATTAATACACACTGGTTATAATAGTAAACACCATCAATATTAATATCAGCAGTATTAATAACCCAAACAGCCCTTATTAATACACACTGGTTATAATAGTAAACACCATCAATATTAATATCAGCAGTATTAATAACCAAACAGTCCTTATTAATACACACTGGTTATAATAGTAAACACCATCGATATTAATATCAGCACTATTAATAACCCAAACAGTCCTTATTAATACACACTGGTTATAATAACTCACAATGTTCATACTAATTCACACTGGTTATAATAGTAAACACCATCAATATTAATATCAGCAGTATTAATAACCCAAACAGTCCTTATTAATACACACTGGTTATAATAGTAAACACCATCAATATTAATATCAGCAGTATTAATAACCAAACAGTCCTTATTAATACACACTGGTTATAATAGTAAACACCATCAATATTAATATCAGCACTATTAATAACCAAACAGTCATTATTAATTCACACTGGTTATAATAGTAAACACCATCAATATTAATATCAGCACTATTAATAACCAAACAGTCATTATTAATACACACTGGTTATAATAGTAAACACCATCAATATTAATATCAGCACTATTAATAACCAAACAGCCCTTATTAATACACACTGGTTATAATAGTAAACATCATCAATATTAATATCAGCACTATTAATAACCCAAACAGCCCTTATTAATACACACTGGTTATAATAGTAAACATCATCAATATTAATATCAGCACTATTAATAACCCAAACAGCCCTTATTAATACACACTGGTTATAATAGTAAACACCATCAATATTAATATCAGCACTATTAATAACCAAACAGTCCTTATTAATACACACTGGTTATAATAGTAAACACCATCAATATTAATATCAGCACTATTAATAACCAAACAGTCCTTATTAATACACACTGGTCATATTAACCCAAACTGCCCATACTAATACACACGGGCTATTTTAGCGAACAACACACACAAACACACACCTCACTAACACACCCGGGCGCGCGTGCACCACTTTGATCCAGACTTTAAGGGACTGACACACTCGGAGAAAGCGCGCGCGCGCTGCTGTGTGTGAGCAGCCTGCCGCAGCCCGCGCGAGCCAAACTCACTTCATCACCCTAATTAAGCTGTGCTGGTGTTTCCACGCGTGTCTGCGTGTTTGGTCACTCACCGCGCGCTCCTCTAAATCCAGCGCGCGCCGCTCCGCGCGCCAAGCCCCCGCATCCCGCAGCGCAGCGCGTGAAGTCCAGCCAGCAGCTCCTCAGACTGTAACTGAGCGAGTGAGAGAGAGAGGGAGGGAGAGTTAGAGTGTGTGTGAGAGTGAGAAAGTGTGTGTGTGTGTGTTTGAGCTCCTCTCGCGCTCCTCCTGCTCTTAGCTCCTCCCCCCGAACACACTGACACTTCCACCGGGGGGCGACACTGCTCACATACACACACGCGCGCGCACCCTTTCTCTAACTCTCTAACTCTCTCTCCCTCTCTCTTTCTCTCTCTTTAAGTCTCTCTCTCACTAACTCTCTGTGTCTGTTTCACTCTGTATTTCTCGCTCTGTGCATCTCTTACTGTCTCTCTCTCATTCTCTCTCTGTATCTCTCTCTCTCTCTGTCTCACTGTATCTCTCTGTATCTGTCTCTCTCTCTTTCTCTCTCTGTATCTGTCTCTCTCTCTTTCTCTCTCTGTATCTGTCTCTCTCACTGTATGTCTTTGTATATCTGTCTCTCTCTCTTACTGTCTCTCTCTGTATCTCTCTCTCGGTCTCACTGTATCTCTGTGTATCTTACTGTAACTGTGTATCTCTCTCTCTCTGTGTGTGTCTCTTAGTGTCTCTCTCTCCTCTCCCCTCTCTCTCTCTCGGTCTCACTGTATCTCTCTGTATCTTACTGTAACTGTGTATCTCTCTCTCTCTCTCTCTCTCTGTCTCTCTCTCTCTCTCTCTCTCTCTCTCTCTCTGTGTGTGTGTGTCTCTCTCTCTCTCTCTCTCTCTCTCTCTCTCTCTCTCTCTTTGTCTCTCAGTGTCTCTCTCTCTCTTATTCTCTCTTCCCCCCTCTCTTATTCTCTCTCCCTCCTCTCTCCCCCCCTCTGTATCTCTCTCTGTACCTCTCTCTCACCGTCTCTCTCTGTATCTTATTGTAGCTGTGTATCTCTCTCTCTCTCTCTCTCTCTCTCTCTCTCTCTCTGTGTCTCTTAGTGTCTCTCTCTCCCTCTCTCTCTCCCCTCTCTCTCCCTCTGTCTCCCTCTCTCTCTCCCTCTCTCTCTCTGTGTCTCTCTCTCTCTGTTTTATTCTGAATGTTTTAAGCTCCACATTATTGACACAGTAATTAACACAAACGTGAACAGCAGAGAAAATCAAAGGAAGAATGAAAACAGAAAAAACAATATAATAATAACTTTTTCACAGTTATTAATCATCATCAGCGTAAAAGGGCAGAGGAAGACGTCTCTCTCTCTCTCTCTCTCTCTCTCTCTCTCTCTCTCTCTCTCTCTCTCTCATTCTGTTTCTCTCCTTCTCTCTCTCTCTCTCTCTCATTCTGTTTCTCTCTCTCTCTTCTCTCTCTCTCTCTCTCTCTCTCTCTCTCTCTCTGTGTCTCTCTGTCTCTCTCTCTCTCATTCAGCCTCTCTCTCTCTCTCTCTCTCTCTCTCTCTCTCAGTCTCTCCCTCTCTTCACGCTCTGCTGGTCTCAGTGTTCAGAGCTCCGTTATTGTTAGAGTAATTAAGAGTCCAACAGCAGAAGCGGAGAAATGAGAACGTTCAGAAGAAAAATCACTTATTTACAAACTTAATAATCATCAACTAACACACAGACACGCCTACCCGTCCTCATTTCTCTCTATACACGTTTAAATCTCCCTCATTTCTCTCTATACACGTTTAAATCTCCCTCATTTCTCTCTATATATGTTTAAATCTCCCTCATTTCTCTCTATACACGTTTAAATCTCCCTCATTTCTCTCTATATATGTTTAAATCTCCCTCATTTCTCTCTATACACGTTTAAATCTCCCTCATTTCTCTCTATATACGTTTAAATCTCCCTCATTTCTCTCTATATACATATAAATCTCCCTCATTTCTCTCTATACACGTTTAAATCTCCCTCATTTCTCTCTATATACGTTTAAATCTCCCTCATTTCTCTCTATATACGTTTAAATCTCCCTCATTTCTCTCTATACACGTTTAAATCTCCCTCATTTCTCTCTATACACGTTTAAATCTCCCTCATTTCTCTCTATACACGTTTAAATCTCCCTCATTTCTCTCTATATACGTTTAAATCTCCCTCATTTCTCTCTATATACATTTAAATCTCCCTCATTTCTCTCTATATACATTTAAATCTCCCTCATTTCTCTCTATATACATATAAATCTCCCTCATTTCTCTCTATATACATTTAAATCTCCCTCATTTCTCTCTATATACATATAAATCTCCCTCATTTCTCTATACATTTAAATCTCCCTCATTTCTCTCTATATACATATAAATCTCCCTCATTTCTCTATATACATATAAATCTCCCTCATTTCTCTCTATATACAGATAAATCTCCCTCATTTCTCTCTATATACAGATATATCTCCCTCATTTCTCTCTATATACATATAAATCTCCCTCATTTCTCTCTATATACATATAAATCTCCCTCATTTCTCTCTATATACATTTAAATCTCCCTCATTTCTCTCTATATACATATAAATCTCCCTCATTTCTCTATATACATATAAATCTCCCTCATTTCTCTCTATATACATTTAAATCTCCCTCATTTCTCTCTATATACATTTAAATCTCCATCATTTCTCTCTATATACATATAAATCTCCCTCATTTCTCTCTATATACATATAAATCTCCCTCATTTCTCTCTATATACATTTAAATCTCCCTCATTTCTCTCTATATACATATAAATCTCCCTCATTTCTCTATATACATTTAAATCTCCCTCATTTCTCTCTATATACATATAAATCTCCCTCATTTCTCTCTATATACATTTAAATCTCCCTCATTTCTCTCTATACACGTTTAAATCTCCCTCATTTCTCTCTATATACATATAAATCTCCCTCATTTCTCTCTATATACATTTAAATCTCCCTCATTTCTCTCTATATACACATAAATCTCCCTCATTTCTCTCTATATACATTTAAATCTCCCTCATTTCTCTATATATACATTTAAATCTCCCTCATTTCTCTCTATATACATATAAATCTCCCTCATTTCTCTCTATATACATTTAAATCTCCCTCATTTCTCTCTATATACATATAAATCTCCCTCATTTCTCTCTATACACGTTTAAATCTCCCTCATTTCTCTCTATATACATTTAAATCTCCCTCATTTCTCTCTATATACATATAAATCTCCCTCATTTCTCTCTATATACATTTAAATCTCCCTCATTTCTCTATATATACATTTAAATCTCCCTCATTTCTCTATATACATTTAAATCTCCCTCATTTCTCTCTCTATATATATAAATCTCTCATTTTTCTCTCATTTCTCACTATATACATATACGGTTCTCATTTCTCTGCAGCGTAACTCAAAATAACTATCAATCAAATATAGACTATTCATGCATATGAACACACTTAAAAATATACACTTAAATATGTTTTAAGTGAAGTAGAACATGTATTTCAGCATCTCCTAAACATTTAATCACATATAGGTTGTGTAAAGTTATCCTAATATATTAAAGCATATGTTTTAGAAAATAGCACTTAAATACATGTCTTATTTGTTATATGTACTGAAGTGTATTAAAGCAATAAGCCATGAGAGGCCGTAGGTTACTGTGATTCTATCACGGGGAAGGGTGTTGTTAGGCACGACGTGAAGCAGAGCAAAGCCCCCTTCCCTGTCATTAAAAGCACAGTAACACACGGCCTCGAGTGGCTTGTTGCCATTTTAAAATGGTTTTCAGGAATTAATTGAAGTTATTATTAACAATAATCAACATAAAAAAAGTATTCGGCCAAGAAATGTAGTTCCTTTAGAGTACGGTATTGTTGACGAGCAGCCATGGACCGCTGAGTGATGAGAACATTCAGTCACCCGTCGCTGTACACTGCGGTCATTTCATGATTTTTTAATATAACAATGAACATATGATAACACAACACCAGTTTAATGCAAACCTTTTGCTTTATAAGTACTTTTTGGTCCCCAAATTACCACCGCGAGCCTAATTTAGCACCAATCCAGCGGCGCCCTCTTCTCACACTGAGGCTGAACCTCAAACAGCTCCCTGCTCCCTACATAGTGCACTACGTAGGAGTTTAAATACTGGATCCTGCTGCCCAACAGAGCAGAATACAGCTAAGAAACAGTCATTTGGACGACTAAAACTATCCATTTAATAATTAGTGATATTGAAACCTAATTTAAAATGCATTTAATAAGCAACAAATGTCAGCACATCCAGTAATATAATCACAATATATTAGTGTAATCACAGTTATGAGTACAAACATACTTAATGCACTTAAGTGCAACCTAAATAGTTTAGAAAAGCACAACTAAATACATTAAAAATATGTTTAGTTAAAACTTAATTACAGATTAAATACACTAAATACACCAAAATTAATGCAGCACATATTAAAGTATGTTTAAAGTGTACGCATTACATTTTTCCCATTCATGTTTGAAAAGTACACTTAAGTGCATTTTTATTTCATTGAATTTGCTGAGACCCGAGGCCGTACTACTCAAACTACTTAACTCTTCTTCTGTTTGGTCTCCATGGCCTTCGTGTGTTAATGTTGATGATGAAATATTACAGTGATGGTGGTGAATAATGAGGAGGCGGAGCTGAACGTGTGTCTGTTTATTAGGAGGAGTAACGTTAGCGCGCTCGGCTAAAGCGTTTGGGAAACGGAGACTGAAACTGGGGAGCGGCGATGCTCGGATAAACAACAGGGGGCGCTCTCACAGTATTCACTACTTACAGTTTAGCACACTTTAGTTCTGTTTTGAGGTTTTTACATCAGAAACGGCAGCTGTGACGTTTTTAACATCGTTTTTGTTTATGTTTGTTTATGTTCATGTTTATGTTTCAGCTGTGAGTGTATCGTCTGTTGCTTGGAAACAAACATAACAGTGAACTCTTCACATATATTTGATATGTTAAATGTTTAAAAACCGTGTTTACAAGCGATCACACGTGATCATACATTTTTTGACGTGTGGTGACATTTTTTCACGTGATCACATTTTTCACTTGCAATCACCTTTTTTTCATGTGATCACATTTTCATGTGGGA